TGAGTTAAATAACTTATTTCTCTCAAAATGTATCATCCATGACTAGTTTCTCTTTCTTCTTTTGTTTATATTCAATGCACTGGATCACAAGGCCAGTTTGAACCTCAAGGTCAGCAGTTTGAACCTACCAGCCACTCCTGGGAAACCCTATACAGGGTCTCTATGAGTAGACCCGATTTGACGGCACATCACACCAACAGCATCTGAGGACCACGCGCCACTATTTCATGGCCACTCCTGAAAATATCCAATTGCTCTCAAATGTCGCTGTAGAACAAGACGGCAGCACGTACCTTCCCGCCGTCGCTCTCTTTGATGGCCACGTAAGGTTCGGCACAGTCTCCAATCTCCCCCTGCTGCAGGACCTTCTCAATCTGAAAGCACAGGGTAAACATCCACCTCAGGTATCCAGGCAACATCAGAAGGATGTTTTATGACCCCATCTGACAACATGGGATGATGCCTATGGGAAGTTTCTAGATTCAAACGTAATGAAGAGTATTATTCAGTTCTGTTAAAAAAAAACCACACCAGAAACAGATCCTAAAGGCTTATGAAATGTTAACAGTGGCTACACACGAAATGTGGGCAGCAATTCTCTGTAGGATCACGGGTGAGTTTTCTTTCCTTCCCATGGCTGATGTGTATTCTCTATTTTTAAACAATAAACATGCATAATGTCTACAATAAAAATGCAATAAAAGCTATTTGGTAAAGCGAAGCCCAGGAGACATACGTAAGAAGGGAAAAAGCTCATTTTCTTTATTATTGCTCACACAGTTTAAAAGAAAAAAAAAATCAGACTGGGGACTAGAACCTTCCCCCACGATGAATAAATGAACAGAATAAATGATTTGTAACCATCTCCATGGAACTCATTCCGATTTAGTAGAAATCCTTCTCTTGATTTAACAGCCTGGAAAGAAATTCCAAGGCAGAGGGATGTTGCAGCTCGTCTGAAGATGTTTGTTGTTGTTGTGAAGTGCCATCGAGTCAGTTCAAACTCATAGCGACCCTGTAGAGGGTTTCCAAGGAGTAGCTGGCGGGTTTGAACCGCTGACCTTGTGGTTAATAGTCCAGTGCTGATCCTACAGCGCCACTCCAGGGCTCTGAAGTAGGGATACAGAGTCTCCAGTGTTTCTAGTCCTATTCAACAAATAATTTAGGGTCTTCTTCCACTTTGCTTCAGGTAAAGGGTCAACTTGACCAATGACCATAAAGGTTGGGCACCAGGTGTAGACCGAAGAAAAGAAGAATGAAATATCCTAACTCTCTGCTCCAAGAAAACTCCATTTCACTTAGATGGGGGTGGGGTGGGGGAGTACACGTTAGCTCCATTAGCTTTGTGTCCTTGGTTGAAATAGTCCTTCTGAGGAGTGGCTGGTGAGTTTGAACCACCGACCTTGTAGTCCAGCATTCATCCTACAGCGACACACCAAGACTCCATTCCAATTGTTAAGTGCCATTGAATCAGGTCCCACTCATACCAACCCTGTAGAGGGTTTTCAAGGCGCGGCTGGTGAGTTTGAACCACTGATCTTGCAGTCCAGTGCTCATCCTATAGTACCACACCAGGACAGTAGGAGAGGTTATTAATCAGGAACAAAGAACTTAAACCAGGGTAAACCTACTGATGGAAGGCTGTTTAGTGCGGCTTCAAAAGACGTCTCCTGAAGCTACTCAACAAACATCTCCAGGGAGGACGCAGGATCTCCCCTCCCCTCCCATTGCCACCGTCTGAAGAGAAAGTTGGTTCCTCTGGGAGACACATGCCTGAGAACAGTGAGCACACCCCAGACCCTATTGCCTTGAGTCCATTCTGACTTATGACAACCTGACAGGACTGCCCCATAGGGCTCCCGAGGCTGTGATCTTTACGGGAGCAAATCTCCAGGTCTTTCTCACGCGGATCATCACATGGGTTAGCAGTGGAGCACTTAGGTACTCTGTCACCAGAGCTCCTTCCTCAAACTAGCCCCGTCAGTCAGCACCATTCACTCACTCAGTCATTCGAAAACGGGTGGTGGCTGCTGGGGAGAGGAGAGGAAGAGCAAGGGGAGAGCCCCTCGTCTTCAGAAGCTCAGACAGAGTCATGGGACTTGGAAAATGAATCAGGAGGTTCACTCCACCACGATGACAGCGGATAAAGACGTGGTCTCTGAACAGAGGTTGTAGCGGCTGCTGTTAGGTGCCATCTGGTGGACTCCAACCCACAGGGACCCCATGTTCGGCCGAACAAATCACTGCCTAGTTCTGCGTCACCCTCACAATGGAGGCCATGTTTGACCCCACAGTTGTAGCCTCTGTGCCAATCCATCTCGCTGAAGGTCTTCTTTTTTCCTGACCAGGGACCGGTCCCTTCTGATGACATGTCCAGAGTCACTGAGCTGAAAAGTCTCTCCGCTCTCTTTTCTAAGGAGCGTTCCGACTGTACGTCAGCACAGATTCGCTTACTCCTCTGGCAGTCCCTGGTAGACGCACTATTCCTTCCAGCACCATAATTCAAATTTGTTAATTCTTCTCCACTCTTCCTTATTCAGTGTCCAGCTTTCACATTAAGAAATGAAAACTCCATGGCTTGAACCAGTCCTAGTGGGCAGTGAGGGACCCAGAGGAGAGAGGTACCCAGAATCTGGAAGCAGGGGAGTCTACATTCAACCAGACCAGCAGATACCATTCCCTTTATTGCCTGGGGCCCTGAGATCTGAAAGCCCACTGCGTGTCCACTGGGGGTTATGTGTAAAAAGTGTGTCGGTCCTTATAGTCATGGGAAGTGGGGAAACCCACATCTCACAATCCACCTGGGAATTAAAAAAATACATTATTTTAAAATACTCTCAAAGTTCAGCATGTGTAATATTAATAATAATCACTTCTTTATTCACCAATTGCTAACATTGCCCCATAATTTCGTGGTGACTCCTACTCTTTACATTAGGAGCCCAGGAAGCATGGTGGTTAAGAACTCAGCTGCTTACCAAAAAGGTTAGCTGTTCGAACCCAGCAGCTGCCCCATGGGAGAAAGTGGAGGCAGTCTACTTTGGTGAAGATTTACAGCTTGAGAAACCCCATGATGCAGTTCTACTCCACCCTACGCATTTGCTTTGCTTTGGTATTGTCTATATTAATACTTTTTTTTTTTCTTAAGACTTATTTTATTGTGGTGAAAATATATCTAAAACATTTGCTATTTCCATCTTTTCTCAGGTCCCATTCAGTGACATTAATTATGTTCAGCGTGTGGTATAACCATCGCCGCCAACATTGCTTATCCTACAGCACCACACCTGTATCTGGTGCTGAATTTTCTAGTCTGGGAAGGAAAGAGGGACGCTGAGAAGAAAATAAAGAGAATTTCCTCGCAGAAGGGAAGTCGACACTCTGACACCCCCTCACCCTAAACAGGTGCTGGGACCAGACGGCCCAGCAATGGGAGTGTCAGCTGAGGTCAATCTGATCATGTGTAAGTACCTTAACCACCAGGTAGATGTCCGAGGATGGGTAGGTGACTGAGAACACTGCAGATCGTGCCTGGCTGGACGCAGCCACGGACGGAGTGTGAGCGCGCAGGAAACCTTTGAACTGGTCCGAGTTCAGGTCACAGTGGAAATTCTCTGAGATCTGTAAATGGGCAGAAAAGTGGGAAAGAAGGTAAAGACCTGTTGCTCTCATGGTTTAAACGTTTGTTTCAAAGACCAAGCGTGAAAAGACACAAATACAAGGACAGAGCCTCATCATGAAAGCAGCTGCTGACAAGTTGCTGCGGAAACCGAAAGTCTTGGACCACAATTCCTAGATATTTGAAAGCCATTTAAGACAGACTCCTTGGCATATTTAAACTGGCACTGTTGCTGTTAAGTGCCGTCGAGTCGGTTCCGACCCATAGCGACCCTGTACAGGGTTTCCGAGGGTGTAAATCCTTCCGGGAGTAGAAAGCCTCATCTTTCTCCCGCGGAGCGGCTGGTAGTTTCGAACCGCTGACCTTAAGGTTCGCAGCCCGATTCGTAACCACTAGGAAACCCTCGGAAACCCTGTACAGGGTCGCTATGGGTCGGAACCGACTCGACGGCACTTAACAACAACAACATAGGCGTTGTGCTCCCATAAAGATTTACAGCCTCAGAAACCCTATACAGGGTCGCTATGAGTCGGAACCAACTCCACAGCACACAGCCACCACCACCATAGGGGTACTGGTGTGGTGCTGTGGGTTAATGCACCAGACTGAAAAGCCGTTTAAACTGCAAGGTCAGCTGCTCCTCAGAAACCCTACACAGGGTCACTATGGGTCAGAACTCACTTGACAGCACGTAACAACAACATAGGGGTACTCTGAGGGGCGCTGGTGGTGCAAAAGTTAAGCACTAAACAAAAGGTTGGCACTTCAAATCCCCAGAGAGATTCCACAGGAGGGAGACCTCACGATTGGTTCCCAAAGAGATTATAGCTAAAACAAACCCATGGGGCAGTTCTTCTTGGTCACACGGGGTCTCTAGGAGTCAGACTGGACTTGACGGCACTGGGTATGGTATGGTTGCTTCTTATTATAAGGAGCCTGGTGGTGCAGGGGTTAAGTACTCCACTGCCAACTGAAAGGTTAGCAGTTTGAATCCACCAGCCACTCTTTGGGAGACAGAAGTAGCAGTCGGCTCCAGTAAAGATACACAGCCTCGGAATCCGTAGGGGGCGGTCCTGCTCTGTCTTGTAGGGTTACTAACACTTGACAGTGGGTGTGAATACAATTTCTGGGGTTATTAATATTCATTCTTTAGTCTACATTCGAGAGACAGTTGTTTCCAGAAATCCACATGGTTGTGGGCCAACAGAGGCCGCAGCATCCTGCTATGCTTTTACTATTGCTGTTTTAACTCCTTGAATAGCTACAAGACCACCAACCACAAAGATACTCCTCTTGGGTCGCCGAGTCCTTTTCGCTTAAAAGCGCATTACCCTGGGTGAGCTCTTCCCCAATGACGATGGGAGAGCTGTACCCCCAAGCTGCCTTCTGTGAACCATTTTGCGGTGCCAACTCTCCCCAGCTGAAGAAGCATCTGTCAACATGCATTTAAATTGCTCTCCGATGGGTGGGCCCACATGCCCACCGTGCCCTCTCTCTCTGTATTCCAGCCCAGCCACTACCTTCCTCAGGCTTTTTCCTTTAAGACTCGGCTAAGAATGCAAATTGCCAATGTCGCCAGAACACTCACTCAAAAACTGCAAAGACAAGAGAACAGAGCCCATCAAAGGACACATGCTTTCAAATCCCAGCTGCTGTTGCTACGTAGGCATGAGACTTACAAACAGGAGCCCAGGGCACGTGGATGGTGGTCTGTGTGCTTTGCGGATGTGTCATTCTTCCTCTTACTTAGGGTTGCGGCTGCTTACCTTTTTCCTCTCCTTGACGTCATACAGGGCAATGCTGACAAACAGAGGTTCAATCTCAATCTCAAACCTGTGGAAGGAAGAGAGACATGTCGTGAAAACTGTAATTTAGCTAATTTGGAGATTTCTGCAAGTACCTGGAACTAAGAAATGATCAAAGAGGCAGATGTATTTGGATAACTCCATGTATACGGGAATCATGGAATAATAAAATGTTGCCCACAAGTCGATTCTGACTCGTAATGACCTTGTAGGATAGAGTAGAATTACCCCTATAGGTTTTCCAAGGCTGTAAATCTTTATAGAAACAGTCTGCCCCATCTTTCTCCCATTGGGTGACTGGTGGGTTCGAACCACCAACATTTCAACAAGCAGGCTGAGAGCTTAATCAGCACAGACTGGACCCCACGGCAGTGGGCTTGGGTTTCTGCTGGGATATGACTTGAGAAATATGGGGGGAGTCGCTGAAACTTTGTAATCAGTTGAAATCGTGGTGAATGGGAACATTCTCATAAAAAAAGCTTGAGACACACTTCCAGAGAGTTGTGCAAAAAGCAGGTTTCTTGATTCCACCTAGGATCTAATTGGGGCTAGGGGTGGTGGTGTGAGGTACTGAGAGTCTTTCTAAGCTACGTTTCAAACAAGTTCACACCTAGAAGATTCTTTCAAGTACAAAGCAACATCAACTTTGAGACTTTGAGAGACTTTCTCCCACCCTTGAAACACAAGAGAAAAATGCTTTTTGCTTTCTTCTTTTTTCGTGATGCATCGGACAGTTGTCGTGGCTACAGACAATTCTCTCTGTATCCTTAAGGCTTTGTGTATGTCTCAAAAGCAACACACAGATATTCCTAGGTCTCAACAAGTTTTCACAAAGTCCTTCAGTAGATAAAAATGATAATAATGTAAATTGTTGTTGTTAAGTGCTATCGAGTTGGTTCTGACCCATAGCAACCCTGTATAGAGTTTCTGAGGAGCGGATGGTGAGCTTGAACCACCGACCTTGTGGTTCAAACCGACTTTGCAATCCAGCACACTAGCCCCAGCGCCACATCAGGACTCGAGGATTATAAATAGGTACCTGCAGAGCCATGCCAGTAAGGAAATGCATGTCTCTAGCATTCTATCGCTCCATATTTCACTATCCACATTCACTATTTTAACAGCTTAGGTTTTTATAAGAAATTTTGTTTCTTGTATCCAGTTTACACCAAGTTGCTGGATCTTAATTTTGATTCATCTCTCCCCTTGCCAGCCCATGTCAATATGGATGATATTTAAGACACACGTGGGGTAGCCATGAATCAAAATCAACTTCATGGCAACTGGTGTTTGGGTGGAGCGAGGGATTCTAAGGAGAGCTGTTACTAACTTTGTATTTAAGCTGAACTTGTAGGTAAGTCATAAAAGTACACAGGCTTTTTATTTAGCCATACAAACCCTGGTGGCAAAGCGCTGGGCTGCTAACCACAAAGTCAGCGGTTCAAACCCACCAGCTACTCCTTGAGATAAAGATAAGGCTGCCATAAACATCTACAGTCTCGGACACCCTACCCAGGGTCACTGTGAGTCGGAACCCCCTCAATGGCAGGGGGCTAGGGTTTGGGTTTGGGTTTTAATTTAAGAACAGGCTTGATTTAAAAGCCGCACATGCAGTAGGTGAAGGCGATTGTGATGGAAAATTGTTGTGAGTGGGGACTGTTTCAAGGAGACCTGGTGGCGCAGTAAAGTGCTTGGCTGCCCACTGAACCCATCAGCTGCTCTGTGGGAGAAAGGTGTGGCAGTCTGCGTCTGTAAAGATGGTTGTTGTTGTTGTTGCTAAGTGTTGTCGAGTTGGTTCCAACTCATTGCGATCCTGGGTAGGGTTTCCGAGAAACAACTGGTAGGTTTGAACCACAGACCCCACAGTTAGCAGTCCCGTGCTTATCCTGCAGAGCCACTTAGAGACCCGATGGATGGGGCAGCTCTAATCTGTCCTACACATTTGTTTTGAGTTGGAATCCACTCAGTATGTAGGTTTGATTAGGGGCTAATTCAGTCATTTCAGAGTCAGAGTACATTTACATACTCCTAAAGGAGAAGCCTCGTCTTCTGCTCCCGTGAAGATTGACAGCCTTAGGAACCCTGTACAGGGTCGCTGTGAGGCGGAACCGACTCCACAGCACATAATAACCACCAACCACCAAAGAAGCAGGAGCTGTTGGTCTGGAGAAAGATGAGGCTTTCTGCTCCTGTCAAGACAGTCTCAGAAACCTATTGAGCGTCGCTATGAGCCTGAACCGACTCGATGGCACACAACAACAACAAGAGGGGTGCAGAAGTGGGGTGTTTGTAGCCTGGGACTGTACCCCGATTCTACAAGTCTACTGAATTCCTCTTTTGGCAGCTGTGGGAAATAAAATCACTAGCAACTGTACTTCACAATTTCTATGCAGAGAAATCCAAGCGATCAGATTTGAAGCTTTAACGGCATGTACCTGTCTTAACAGGCCGGGGGTTCCCACCTGTTAGAGCAGCTGTGTGGCCTGTTTTCTGGAAAGTTCTGGACGGCTTGGTGACAAACACCAGGAGGGAGAATTTCTCTGTCCCAAACAGCAAAGTGACTCATTGATTTAAACTCAGCCTGGCTGGGCTTCCTGTGGGGGCGGGGAGCGTGCTTGACAGTGGGGTCCTCGGCTTCCTGAAGGACACCCTAGTCCCCTCTGGTCACTGGATAAGCCCCAAAACTCTCACCCTGAGATAATTTTACCTTAAACCCGACACCAAAATCATCCCTCAAGGCTGCTAAACCCAGCAACGGTGATGCACTCCTTCAGGATTCTCTCTGTGGGACCAAGTGACCTCGGTAACTCAGAAGACTAGGTAGCAACCTCAGGGGGCAGTGAGTGGATGCTCACAGAGGAAGAAGTGTTCAGAAAAGGAGGCTGCGAACGACAATTTGAAGAATGGCATCTGGGCCACCAAGTGGTGCCTGCAGAAATGGTGGAATTGGTGTATTTTCTACTGTGTGTTTTCTCAACAACTAAGTGAGTTGATGAAAAAATACATAAAGATATGAATTTTCTAACAATACGTAATAATTGTAATACCGTCCAAGCGCTGATGGTAAAGACACAATGTCTATCTAAAAGACGAGATGTCGCCTGCTGTGCTTTCTAACGCTTACTTCAGGGTCAGCAGTTTGACCAGGATTCTGTTGCCCAGATGTTCCTTGGGGCATTCTGGTACCGGACGGATTTCCACAGCATCCTCCTGTTAGGAATTACATTGCAGAGAGATTAGGTGTGAGCTTCCGGAGGCAGAGATGGGCAGGCCTCCCCCACCGCCCCAACTCAGCTGGTTTGTTTCTAACAGTAGGACACCCCGGCTTTTACGAGACGTTTTGTTCTTTAGGTCCCAGCTGTCAGCATTGCAGTAAATGTCGGAAACTCAAGTAGAGAACACAAAAGAAGAGAAGGAAGAAGGAAGGAACTGGTGATATAGATATGGCTTAGTCATAAAGCCTTGTATCTATTGTTGATGGCTGACTTTCTGTTTTTGCCTGCTCCAGGTACAGATTCAGAACATTTATGTCCCCAAAAGGCATTGCTAGGAAATAGGTGGGTTTCAGATGTCAGCTCTGAATCAGAGCTAGTTGTTTGTTTCAGGATAGAATTCTCCAATGTTACAATAGTTTCCTTCCCTGTTTATGGGTTTCTTAAGTGGAAGATGGAGATTTGGGGCTGCACTGACAGGTTCTATGCAGATCCCCCCAAGTTAGAGCTCACAGAAATCCTAAATACAGGAAAGACTTCTTGTTGGGGGCCGTTGAGTCAGTTCTGACTCACAGATCCCAGTGTACAACAAATAAAACACTGCCCGGCAAAGCCCCCAGGTGGGCTCCACCTGGCAACCATTCTGTTAGGAGCTGTGTGTAGGACTGTTGACATCACTCAGGAAACTTAAACTGGTATGTTGTTGTTGTTGTTGCTGTTAGAAGCCTGTCAGTCGGTTCTGACTCATAGCGACCCGATGCAAAACCGATTTCCGGGACGGTGCTGTAGGATCAGCACTGGACAGCAACCCATGAGGTAGGCAGTTCAAACCCACCAGCTGCTCCTAGGAAACCTCATACAGGGTCTCCATGACTCGTAACTGAATCGACGGCCCTTCACAACAACAACAACTGCGCAACAGAAGGAAACTCGTCGCAGTTCTGTGCCATCCTCATATTCGTAGTTATGTTTGAACCCTTGGTTATGGCCACTGTGTTGGTCCATCTCATTGAGGGTTGTCCTTGTTTTCACCGATCTTCTACTTCACCAACCATAATGAACTTCTCCAGGGACTCATAACCTCCTGATAACATGCCCAGAGTACGTGAGTCTAGTAGTGACAAATCAAATGACAGACATGCCTACCTTACTACATAGCTACTGGAGACTTAGTCTGTGTAATTTCCCACAACCCGTCTCTCAGTGGTACTGTGGTGCTGGAAACCATAACAGGGTCACCCACTGTGGACCAGTTCAGTGGTGCTTCCAGACTCAGAGAGATGAGAAAGAAAGGCCTGGTGATCTATCTCTGAATATTAACCAGTAAAGACCCCAGAGGTCACAAGCAAAGTTTCCTTATGTTATGCACAGAGTTGTTATGAATAAGACATGGCCATCACAGCTGTAACTTTTAGCACTTAATGCGCCTTAGAAGTCAGGATGGCTAAACTTCATCTCTCATACTTTGGACATATTACCAGGAGGGACCAGTCCCTGGAGAAAGACATCATGCTTGGTAAAGTGGAGGGTCAGAGAAAAAGAGGAAGACTCCCAACTGAATGGATTGGCACTGTGGCAGCAGCAATGGGCTCAAACGTGGCAATGACTGTGAGGCTGGCCAAGGACTGGGCAGTGTTTTGTTCTATTGTGCATCGGGTTACTATGAGTCAGAACTGACTGACAGGCACCTAACTAACAGCAGCAACAACATGCAAAGGTAAGTTGCCTGGGTCAGGCGAACGGTTTGACACTCAGCTGCTAACACAGTGGTTGTCAGCTGGTGCCCACCCAGTGGAGGTTTCTGAAGGAAGCCTTGGGAATCTGCTCCCAGGAAGATGACAACCTCAGAAACTGAATGAGACTTGGATCAAAAGTGGCCCAAGGCACCTGACAACAACAGAGACTAGACAGTTAGGATATGGCATCTAGGACCACCACACTGTGGGGACAAAGTCACATTTTTCCTGTGGCTCTCAGCATCACCTCTAGCGTTCCCCCACCTGAGGCGGGCACCCACCTCATCCACCGATGGACACAGGGCGAAGAGCTCAGCCTGCCGGTTGCTCCGCCGGGCCTCCTCGTTCTGTCGCTCGAAGTCCTCGGCGCTGACCTGCAGCAGGAGGCTGTCAAGCCGAGGGTCAGGCTGCAGACTGCGCAGGTTAAAGTCGCAGGCGGTGAGAGGACCTTTCCCCGACACATCACAGAGGACGCGCAAACTGCAAGGGCCTGTCTGCAATGGGACACAGGCTTGTGAGAGTGAGCGGTCCAGGTGCGGACTGGAGGGCAAGGAGGACCCCAGACTGCTTCACTCAGGCCACCAGCATCATGTCACAGGACCAAGGCCTCCAGTTTGAGGACCAGACTGAGGGCAACCTGAAGTCTCTCCTGCCCGCTCCCAGGATGCACAGAAGCCAACACCAGGTTCCAAGAGTTTTGGCTTATTCCTTTCTGAAAATTAGCAACCAAGTCTCTTGTAACCACACATTAACCCACAGTGCCACCCCAGGACTTCGTAACATACTGGGGTGAGTCAAAAAGTATTGATACTATAGTTCTAGATGATACAGATATGGGTTTATTCCACTCAAAATGTGTTTAAACACATCTCAGGATCAATGGTTGGCTGCAGACACGTTTTCTCAGTGATATTCTTATCTTAATCTCATTATTATTCCTTAAAAATGTCCATTAAGAGCAGGGTTTCCAGTGGAACCTTCTGGGATACTTAAATGGAAGGTCAAGAGGTCAGTGGCTCTTAACAGACGCTTGTGGGACTGTACTGGGAACTCCCAAGGGGTCACTGATGGACACTAGATTTTCTCAGAGGACACAGCACAATGGCTGAAGCTCACTGGAAGACGTTTTAGGAAAATAGAACATGGCGTTGTGGAGAAGACCAGAATTTTCCCCATCATGACAACAACCTACCTGCTTATTTTCTGGGGACAGCCAGGGTTGTCCTATGAGAATCTTGTTAAGCCATTGTGCCTCATCCACCCTACAGACCTGATCTTGCCCCTTCAGACTTCTTTCTGTTCTCAAAACTCCAAGATCATTGAAAGGGAACACGATTTGCTTTCTTCAAGGGTGCCAAGCTGTCATAGTCACCTTGTGTAACTGAAAGAACTCAGAATTCTTCTGGGAAGGCTTATTACTGTAGTTGTTAAGTGCCATCTAGTCAATTCCAACTTAGAGCAAACCCGTGTAGGGTTTCTGAGAGTGGCTTGTGGGTTTGAACTGCTGACCTTGCAGTTACTAGTCCAGTGCTTATCCTATTGCACCACGCTGGGACTGGAGTCACCTTGTCCTTCAGAAATGTACAAACCCAGATGGCGGCGATGTTGACAAACAATAGCTTCCCACTTTGATTGTTGTTAAGTGTCCTCGAGTCAGTTCTGACTCCTAGTGACCCTGTATAGGGTTTCTGAGGAGCAATTGGAGAACCTGAACATCTAACCTAGTGGTTAGCAGTCCAGTGCTTTCCCTAAAGCACCACATATGACATTTGTTGTTGTTTAGTGCCTTCTAGTTGGTTCCGACTCATAGCGACTCTGCATAGGGTTTCCGAGGAGTGGCTAGTGAGGTTGAATTGCCGACCTTGCAGTTCAAACTGACTTTGCAGTCCAGCGTATTAACCCACAGCGCCATACCACATAGCGACGTGGCAAGAGCACAAACCACTGGAAACGCAGCGTGGATAGTCTTGCTTGATGCAAAGTTGCCACAAACTTCATTTGCAAGAAAGGCAGGTGGTCAGGGTCTGAGGAAGAACTGCTTTAGGAGCTAATTCCGACTCAGACAGACCTCCTAGAACAGAGGAGAACTGCCCCCCTGGGGTTCCCAGGGCTGTCCTCTGTACAGGAGCAGGCTGCCGTAATCTCTGGGCTGTGCAGCGGCTGGTGGCTTTGACCCTTAACTGACAATTACAATGTTTTCCAGGGATGGGGGCAGGCCGAAGGCTATAGTGTTGGCTGAGTTTGCGGTGTGGACACGCGGTATAACCACAGAACAAGGACAGGCTGGCCTCAGGGTCTGCCTTTCCATCCCTCTGCAGAACCCTGGTGGCACAACAGTTAAGTGCACAGCTGCAATTGTAAAGTTGGTGGTTCCTGCCCACCCAGCAGCTCTGTGGAAGAAACACCTGGTGATCTGTTGCCATGAAAATGACAGCAAACCCTAGGGGGCGGCTCTGCTCTGTCACATGGGGTCATGAGGACTATGAGTTGAAAACCAGCTGGACAGCACCCAACAGCAATGTGGCCTGAGGTTTACTTAGGCGCTCTGGTGGCACAGTGGTTAAGCTCTTGGAGTGCTCACCCAAAGGTTGGTGGTTCAAAGCCACCAGTGTCTCCATAGGATAAGGCAGCGGCAGTTGGCATCTGTAAAGAGGACAGCCTTGGAAACCCTAGGGGGAAGCTCTCCTCTGTCCCACATGGTTGCGATGAGTCAGAAGCAATTCCTCAATGACAGGTTTGGTCTTATTGGCTTTGTCTGAGACCCCTTTAAGGGTCACAAGCAAGGGACCTTGTGGTGTGGCCCAGGGTTGGTGTTGAGTGCTGTCGATTGGCTCCAACTCATAGTGACCCTGTATAGGGTTTACAAGGGTTTGAACTGATGACCCTGTGGTTCGCAGTCCAGTGCTGACCCCACAGTGCCATACCCGGAGTCCAGTGTTCCAGGGTAGGGATGCCATTTTGAAGCTTCTCAGAAGAATGTGTCGTTGCATACTTGCAAAGCAGACTTTTGCAATCACGTGGGCAGCCTTGGAAACCAGGGAGGCAGGTCCACTTCGTCCTGTGGGATCGCTATGAGGTGAGTTGACTCGATGGCAATGGAGATTTGCCCTTGGTGGCACTGTGGTTAAGGGCTGGGCTGCTAACCCCCAAACTGGCAGTTGGAGCACTCCAGTGCCTCCAACAACAACACCCTGCCTTCAGGACACAACCGAGATGACTGAGGCCCACCGCCACACCCGTTAGAGTCCTGTCACTCTGGTCTGCTGACTTACTGAGCCCCTGGGTTTCCACTGGACACCCGATTCTGTAGCCATGAGCAAGTCTGCGATGCAAGCGGTACTGAATCCGAGGGTGATGAGCCCCCTCATCTTCCAACGTTCTGGGACCACCCTTTATTCTAGCTAAAGACACACTGGCCGCTTGCCCAGGGTAGGACGTCCAGGTGTGCTGGGGTTGAGGGCGGTACCTGAGGGCTGTGTTCTGGGCACTCCAAAGCCTCCGACTCAAACATCTGTTTCTGTAGCGTCTTGTGGAAATCTTTGCGGGATCCAATCTTCTGAAAACCGAACGTCTCTGAACTGCCCTGGGTTCTTTCATGGTTGCGGTTGTTTCATTTGTAAAGGGAGACAGAGAAGGGAGAGAGAAACATAAGATTCATCATCCAAGTAAATGACTTTCATTTGGACTTACGGCTGCATGCGCTTGCAAAAAGAGGCCCAATTGTGAATCGTCCCGTCTAATTATGTAGCAGGGTCTGCTACAAGGCCCTGTTGTCAGGAGATGCAAGCTGGCCTGCAGCTGGCGTGTTATTAAAGGCAGAATTGGCCTGGGAAAATGCCACTCCATTCTGGAGGGGTGGCATTTGGCCGTGGGGCATTTGGCTGCTAGTTGAAGCAAGACCGTGACCCTAGCATAAGAAAGAGACTGGGATCTATCCAGCAATCTAGAAGCAGCAGAGAAAGATCGTTTGAAGATAAAAATAGAGGAGAATGTTTCATCTGCACAGCAAAGTGCTTAAAACATGGATTTAAAAAAAGGAAGGGCATAGTTAGGATCAAACAGAAACAGTGATTTAGACATCAGAAAGAAAGTCTTTGCTAGCAATCTCAATCTATGCTCTGTGAAGGCCAAGGAAAGCTGTGTCTTTAAAAATGTATAGCTATGGAAAGGGTGTAGAATATATGAAGTCTAGCACTTTCTCATTGAGAAAGAAATGAGGTTGTCCTGAAAAAGGGCCACAGAGGGTCTATGTGGTACCAAAGTGCAAAGTGATCATCCAAGAACAGACAGATGCTGCAAGCTGATCCCGACTCCCAGCATCCGTGTGGGACGGGCAGAGCTGCTCCCTAGGCGGTCCGAGGCTGTAAATCTTCATGGGAGCAGACAACCTCATCTTTCTCCCGAGAAGAGGCTGGTGGGTTTGGACTGCTGACTTTGCAGTTAGCAGCCCAGAGCTTAGCCCGCTGTGCCACCAAAAAAATCTGCCACCAACCAGTCTATGGAGCAAACATCTTAGCCACCCACAGGGGCACCATGAGTTGGCTGCAAAGGCAACTGTTGTTGTAATGACAATACTCAGAGTCAAAGGTTTATTTTTTCGTGAAAGCCCCACTTTTTTTGGAAAGCTCTACTTTTAAGGAGGAAAAAAATGACCAAAGGAATGAACTGTTATTAAGGAGTTCTAAGATTTAAAGAAAACAGCAAATTAAATGTCCATGTCCTCTCTTCAGTATTTACCCTTTGCCTGTTTTGAGGCTCTGGTGTGGCGCTGCGGGTTAATGTGCCAGACGGCAGAGTCATTTGAACTGCAGGGTCGGTGGGTCAAGCTCACCAGCTGCTCCTAACTTGATGGCACTTCACAACAACAACAAGATGCCAATGAAGACTTCAGAATCTTCCACAGAGAATTGTCTGAGCCAAAGAAACCCAATTCAGGAGGGAGCCTCACGAAAGGCCTATAGCATGTTGGGCTTACTGACCAGAAGGCTATCTGCTTGAACATTGCTTATTATTCATCTTGTAAAACGTATCTGTTTAGTACAGTGTTTACTTAGAATGGGACATTAACTACACACGCACACACAGGCATGTGTGCAAGCACACGTGGGTGTGTACACACACATGCACATAAGGCATGCAAACACATGTGTGCCTGCATACATGTATGTTACACACGTATGCATGGCCACACAAATGTGCACACCCATACATGACACATACACACAAACACACAGGTGCCAACACAAATGTGCACAGACGTCACACACACACATACACACATGTGCACACACACAAATGTGCACGCACCAATGCTACATACATACATACAAACATGCATGTACACCCACCCAAATGTACCCACATGTACATTACACACACACACGCAAATGTATACAAACACACATGTGCCCCCACACAAATGTGCACACGTACATCACACACATGCATACAAAGATGTGTTTGCTCACACAAATGTGCACACACATACATCACACATGCACACACACAAACACATGAGCCAACACAAGAACGCACACACAGAGGCAGATGTACAAGCACACAGTGCAAGTACACTCATGTGCACACCCATGCATGCATACACACACATGCACCCACATGGCCATGTACACACATGTAAATGTGTGCTGTACACACACACACACACACTGGCAGGCATGTGTCTGCCTCCATGAAGTGTAAGGTGTCTTCTCAAGTTTCTTTTCTCTGAACCGCTGCCTCTTCATCGGGTCAGGCAAAGAACTTCTAAGGGTTTCCCCAGAGTTTTGAGATTTTAGCATAAGAAGTTCATGCACTATATCTGAAACACTGCGCAATAAATGTTCTCCTCCAGAGACGCACAGCTTTGGGGACACATGTTTTATTGGGTGAGTGACCCCTTTGCCATCCTATACTGATGACACTGTTTTTCTTTTTGTCTTCCATTTTCTTCAGAGTGTTTTCTGGCATTCTTTACGTGGGCCCCAAACAGACATTTAAAAAAATCAGTTACAGGATATGATTAACTTAAGGGTTACTATCGTAGCGTTGTTGTTGTTGTTGTTGTTGTTATTTGCCGCGGAGTCGGAACCGACTCCACGGTACTAAAACAACACCAACATCATAATATATACACACTCTGGTGTGACGCTGTGGGTAGATGCACCAGACTGCAAAGCCATTTGTACTGCAAGGTCGGCGGTTCAAGCTCACCAGTCACTCCTCGGAAACCCAATACGGGGTTGATATGGGCCAGAACCGACTCGACGGCACTTCACAACAGCAACAACCTCTACAAGGGATCTCTGGGTGGTACAGATGGTTAAAGCGCTCAAGAGCTCGCCACAAGGTTGAAGGTTCAAGTCCACCCAGAGGCACCTTGGAGGACCAGCCTGCTCATCTACTTCCTGAAAATCAGCTGCTGTTAACCCTATGGAGCACAGCTCTCCTCTGACACACACGGAATGGTCATGCGTCCCCGGGAGCGAGCGGGACTTTTCTGTTTTAACCCTCTATAGACACCAGCCTGAGGGGTTTGGCTCTGGGAAGCATTCACACTGGTGTCTTCCGTGGTGCTGTGTGGAAACTTTCCACCCTTCCTCATTCTTGATTGAACTTCCCCTTTTTAAGCCCTCAGAAAGTCACAAAGCTCCCGGTGGCAGCCAGGGCGGAGCTGTCTGGGAGGAGCCGGCAAGTGCAAACGGATGACTCATTCCAGAACTGCCAGTTACAAAAACAGGAACCACAACAAGATGGGCAGCCCAGCCTCATTACCCCACCCTCACCCCAGGCATCTGTGCCAAATATGGCCACATTCCTGTTGAGCCTCCTCCCAGATGAGGGGAAGACAGGAGTGGGCCTAGGGAGGAGAAACCAGTCTCATGAAGTAAACACAACCCACCGCTTCACAGGAGAACTCGATTCTTGCATGTCTGGGACAACCCAGAGCGCAAACATTCTGTGAGAGCAATCTCATTGGGTCTGGAAGTGAGAGTCAGAGGGTCTGCGTTCAGACGCTCTCACTTTCTAGCTGGGAGACCTAGGCCGAGTGGCCAAAGCTCTCTGACCCTCAATCTCCTCCAATGTCAAACGGGAGAAACATTGCTCATAGCAAAGGGCTGTGGTGAGTGGCAGAAAATGATACACGCACACTCCTCTTCTTCTGTTTGCATGTTCCTTACCCTCTCCCTGATTCCTTTCCCCCTTCCCTTCCTGTCCAGTTCAATCCCAAACTCATAAGGTGCATCAATACAAGGGGGCCATCCATGCCTGGGGCAGGTGAGAGATAGCCCAAGGAACCCAGAGTGGGAAGTTGAAGCCCAAACAAGGTGGAAAACCAGTTCCTGTTGAGCCAATTTGGATTCATGGCAACCCCGTGTATGTCGGAGTACGACTGTGCTCCCCGGGGGTTTCAATGGCAGATTCTGTAGAAGCAGACCACCAAGCCTTTTGTCTGAGGCATCTCTGGGTGGGATTCGACTTTGCAGTCAGCAGCTGAGCACATTAACTGTTTGCAGCAACAATGAACAGAGCATCTGAGTAGGACAGCCTGGTTTGGGGAATCGGAACCCAAATGTTGTATAAAGGCATCTAAGTCTGTTTCCACTCATTCTTCCACATGACCAACACACATGTATGCAGTGTCTCCCAAGAAGGTGGTTCTGAAGATACCAAGAGGAGCACACAGGAATCCAAAGTCTAACGGAGTCCCCATCCTAAATGAGGCCATGGTCTGGTGAGACGATCATATATGGCAGGAGAGGAGAGCACGTACACAGGTGATTAGAATCAATGGTAGATTTCTGCTATACATCGAGTCGCTATGAGTCAGGACCCACCAGACAGCATCCAACAACAACAATGTGACAGACAAGAGCTTCTCTGAGAAATACCTACGACCTGCTGGCCAGGTCAGGGAAGGCTCTGGGGGAGCTTTACACATTTGTGTTGAGACTTAGTGGATGTGAACCGGTGAAGACCTGGAGTCAGGGATCAGGAGTAACCAGGTAAGGCCCACAGCAGCCTGCTCTTTATAGCTGCTGAGAGGGATGACCCTGGTTGGCTTCCCATAAGTCTAGAGAGCAAAGCGCTCAGTGTTCCTGGCAGCCAGCAACACAACCACTGACTGCAGGAATCAGCAATTATTGATCAGGGGGAGATGTTTATGGTGTTTGGGGAGTGACCGCATCGTAGGCACCCGTTGAGTCTGAGGTGTTTGCCAGTCCACAGGGAGTAAGAGATGGAGCCGTAAAACAGATGGCTACCCCCCTCTTTGATGTCCCCGCTCACCTTGAGCAAGGGCCTCCCTGCAGAATTGCCTTAATCACGAAGTTAGAGAGAGAGTCAAACTCTCTGGGCCTTCCTGACAGGTCTCGCAGAATCAACAGCATATAAACAACTTTCATTACTTATGGCTTCCCACCTCCACAGAGACATCAAGAACACTCTGAAGTTGGATCGTTCTTGGGGTTCATTTATAGAAAAAGACGGGGGGAGTAATACTTAACCCAGACAACGTCACCCACAGGATGCCACCCAATTTCAAGCCACAAAATTACCAGACTCTATGGAAACAAGAGGAGATGCGCAAGCA